CTTCCTCTTTCAAAATGTGATTTTCCTCCTATATCCACTCCTGATATTATGATGTCATCCACCATCTACCATGGGGCTCTTAGCAGAGCTGAGCTGATACAGATATCATGCCTTTGAACCCCCATAATTATTTAAGCTATTAAGCCTCATTTAAAGTAAAGTTACATAACCTTGTTTTAAAATAAAGTTATCCAGCTTCAAGTTTTTCATTATAGTGGTAGAAAATAAAGTAGAGCAATATGGTCAATTGATTTTTCAGTGAAGGACTGTGGAATTTCCATGAGGAAAGAGTTGAAGAAATGGTAGTGGGACAACTGAAAACAAGAAGAAAGAAAATTACTCTGCGCCAGTGCATATGACACACAGAAACTAATTTGGGAAGGTTCATAGAATAATCATGCACAAGATTCTGGGTTAATCCCCAGCACATATCTATAAGCATTCCAGCACCATGTATATTTACAAATCATTTTGCATATAATTAAGAGCTTCATTAATTATATAAAAGCAGAGTGGAGCTAGGGAGAGAGTTTAGCTGGTAAGTGCTTGCCATGTAAACATAAGGACCTGAATTTGATTCCCATCACCCACAGGAAAAGCTAGGTGTGGTGGTGTACACTTGTAATACCCATGCTGGTGAAGCAGACACAAGTCTATCAGTGAGACTTTGTTAATCAGCCAGCATGTTGTAATTAATGAGTACTGCATCCCAGTGAGAGATCCCATCTCATAAACCAAGGTAGACAGTTGAGGAACAACACCCAATGTTGACCTCTGACATCTACATGCATGCACACATGTGTACTTACACACTCAAGAACACATACACACTTGAGTGCAAGCACACATGCAAGTGTAAAAATGTTCAATATCAGTCACAGGGGAATGCAAATAAAATCATAATAACTATTTCCTGCCCATTGAGGTTGGCTGAAATTTTAACTTCTCATAACCTCAAAAACATGTGAAAATGTAGAAACACTGAAGTAGCTTTGAAGACATGTCTCTGTTAGGTGCTTAGTGACCCAACAATCTCATTGCTAGTTATTTACTAAGAATGAAAGAACATGTCCACCACAAGGCACCACAGGTGTATCCACTGGAAGGCAATTGTAGGCTTGTCTACACAAGTTTGATTTATTATAAATCAAAACCAGAACCTGTCCAAATACTCATCTGTAGGATAATAGATAAACTGTCTGGTTCCTATGCAGAATTGAGCAATTTTAAAGACCTACTGATATCTGGTCAATGTGAATGAATCTTAAAATCTTCATATTAAGTGAAAGATTCAAACACAAGACTGGGTTCTGCACAGTTCATCCTGTAAGAAGTGAACAGCACATGGAAATTATCTAAGATGATATAAATGGGAAGCATAACTACCCAAGACTGAGAATTGTGTAACAGGGAACAAGAGAGAACTTTCTAGGGTAATGTCTGTGATTTTATTGTAGTGGCAATTAAATTAATTCGTAAGTTACCAGAATACACTAAAATTTGTATTTCAATTATATAAATATTACCCTAGTAAGGAAATAAGACAGACCAGAGAACTGGCTCAGTGGTTAAGACTACTAGTTGCACTGACAGAGAATACTTCAGTGGCCTCTAATTACAGCCACAGATGATAAGGTGCCCTCTTTTGGCCTCTGTGGTCACTACACTTGTCCCTAGCTGCAGGACATTAACCTGGGGCAAGAGAGTCAGAGATAGGGAATGGGGACAAGAGATGCAGAAAGAACAACCACAAGACAGGATTCTGATCAAGTGGCAAACTTTATTTTTCTTAGGCTAGCTTATATATAGTCAGTAGAACAGGATATTGGGAGGGATAGAATGGGTTGTTTGTGAACCAGGTGTTAGTGTAGACAGGATATTAGGAAGCCACAAAGAGGATGTTTGGCAGGGTAAAGAGTTCATGAGTAAGAGGTCCAGGAAGGGTTGCCTAGGTGACTGAGCCTGTGGGTAGAGGACTGGGTCAGGTTGTTTCTTTTCTTGAGCTGAGGTTCTAAGGAGCTTCTATGTAAAGGTTAACTACGTGGCAGGCCAAGAATGGCCTAGGATCTCATGTCAAGCCCTGAGATCTTTGGCTCCCAACATACACTCATGTGTACACACTCAACCCACAAAGACCCTCGTACAAATAAAAATAATGTCAATAAAACATAGACAAGATACCATAACTATTTTGATAACAATCCATAATAAAGGGTAGAGTGTAGTAGGCTCTATGATAGCTCTCTGCTTTGAACAATAAGGTTACAAACTTCTTACCTTGGCATAATGGCCTTGTGAGCGATTGGTCTTTGCCTATGCCTTCTACCTCCTACCCCTGCCTTCCTCTCAGGTCCATACCATACTGTTGCTACTGTCTGAAGTAGGTAAATTCTTGATACCCTATTTAGTATCTTGCTTTTCTTCATTATATTTTTATAACTGTCACTTCTTTTTTCTCTTTATACTTTTTTACTATCAAAGAAGGTTCAAGAGACTGGGAACTTTGTCTTTCTCACCTTTGCGTCACTGATGTATTCTCCGCACATTACCTGGCTCAGTATTTATTGAATGTGTCAGTAAATACATGAATACTCCTGTCATCCTATGTGCCAGTGCAGTGATGGGACTAGAATATTGCTCTTTGGACTGCAGTCCTTAATGATTTAGACAGTTTCATTATTTCTTCACTGCAAGCAAAGCAGACCTTTAAACTGGGTCACTGAAGAAGTTTTGGTTAACACAGCCCCTCTTTTTGCTGCTTCTCCTTTGCAGTCTTTGTACTCTCCATCTCTTTCCTAAGCACAGTTTATCAGAGATGGCACTTAATATATCCTTGATGATAACATTTGATCTACTCAACATCCTCAATCCTCGTATCTGCTCTCTTCCTATTGCTGACAGAATGGCCCAAGTGGACAACTTGAGGGAGGCTCTTTAATTTATGACTTTAGAAGGTCCTTCTACATTGACAGTGAAGATGTGACAGAGATGCCTAGTTTACCTCTCCATGGGCCAGGAAGTAGAGACTGCTGTATTTCCACTAGACTCCACCTTTGTCTGTTTGCTTCAGCCTGGCTCCAGCCCACATTCAGAGCAAGTCCTTCCCTCTCAGTTGAGCATGTCTAGAAATGTTCTTACACCCATATGCCTCAGGATACTCGGCGATCCTCTAGTAGACACTGAGGTTGATCTTAAATGTCTACACACCATGAGAAAGGTGTTTATGCCTACCTACCAGGTGGAGCTTTTGTTTTTAAAACACATGTGTTGCTGTACTAATACAAGATGTAACATTCACAAAACCAACATTGAAAAGGATAAGATGGAAGTTTTATTGTATTTATTTTAGTACTTCATGTCAGTTGTATACAACTGAAGTGAAGGAGAGACCACATTTAACATTGATGTGTGAAGTGAAGGAGAGACCACATTTAACATTGATTTGAAAGACCACACCAGTGTTAATGCAATTGAATTTTAACTTTCATTTTAATTGTAATTGATGATAGCTTGGAAACTTTTCTTCATTTTTATTTAAGTTAAATGATGCTATCATTTAGTGAAAGTGGGATGACTTTTTTTTGGTCTGAAGTGTACTCTGAAATCATCGCATGTTATTTTTAAAGCTAGCTATTTCACCACAAGATATAGAGACTATTTTACAGGTAGTAATGAGATTATAGGTATTTTGTAGTTAGTAATGAGATTAGAAAAGTGAGGAATAAGAAGTATAGAAGAACTCTAGAGTTAACTATATTGGGCTTTTTGTTTATCTGTTTTTGTTGTTTTGTTTTGTTTGAGACAGGGGCTCATTATGTAGATCTGCCCAGGTTGGACTCTATGTAGATAAGGTTAGCATCAAAATCACATCCATCCATCTGCCTCTACCTCCCAAGTGCTGGGATTAAAGTTGTGCCCCACCATGCCTGGCAAAAAGTGCTATGTTGATTTTTTAAAACTAATTACACCATAAGTATTAATAATAATTATTTAAATGAAATGTCTCCTTGAGGAATTAATTATTATTGCAGAGTGGGCATATAATACATTTATAGAGAACTTACTACCATAGGGAAGCCATTTATTTTCAGATAAAAAGAAAGGTTTTAAAGATCGGTAAGAAGTGTATTTTTTAGTATAAATTTATTTCATGAAATATTTAGAACATGCACTATAACTCTTTAATTTGTTCTTATTTAAGATTGTTAATCAACTTTTTTAAAGCTATCTTTTCTTACTAAAAAAAAAAGAAAGGTTTTAAGAAAGCATCAACCTGGCAGCACAGCAGCCCTAGACAGTGTGTGGATTTAATTTGGTGCGTTACCTTTGAGACATAAAGGAAGCAGAACATAAAAATGAGCCTCTCTCAGTTTGAAGCAAACCTAATCTTTGTGATCAGGGCTGTGGTCTAAATCTATTAAAGATGTTCAGATTTGGTGTCCTTGGCATCACTGTGGGGTGACCTGAATAGTGAGCAATAAACTCATGTATTAAAATTCAAGTTGGAAGATATGTGCTTAGGAAGTGAAACCGACAGTTAGTGCTTCTGTCTGTCTCTACAAAGACTCAGAACCTATGGAAAATGACAGGTGCACTTTTAGGAAGAGAAACCCATAATGTTTTCCTATTTAGTAGGTGACAGTATGTCCCAAGGTAACACAAGCTTAAAGAGCTGGAACAAGCATGGTTACTAAAGGCTAGCAGTTTCTTGGTTCATACAAATTGAATTTTTTCATAGGCTGGAGGACTGTGGAAATCTAGTGTAGAGTGATGAAATAAATTAGCATATTAAGTGAATTTATACATTCAGGCCTGTGAGCACTTTGAATTTAAGAAAGAAATTTTATTACTGCTTGAGAGAAAATGACAACTCTTCAATTCTGTGTTCAAACTCCATGTTGGAAGGGGCTTATTTGATAAATTATATCATTTTGATGATTATCCAAAGAAATGTATTTTAAATTCATGGAAATCTTTCTTCTTTCCGGCCTTTTTTTCAGAATTACTGATTTAGGAAACATCAAAAGAAGATTGTATTTATCAACAGTCCATAAGGAACTGTCCTCAACCCCTCTTCATGCAAAAATCCCACTCTTCATGATCAAGCGGAAAATTGTAAGTATCACATGCACGTTGCCTAAAATAGGATTAAATTTAATTCCTAACACATTCATTTTGGGTCTTCTCTGTATAGAAGGCCTTTTGTTAGGTACCGTGATTCTATTAAAAGTGATTAAAAAGCATGCCTTTCCTCCCTGCCCCTTGACATCTGCTAGGTAAAAGAGTATTATTTAAATACAATGTCACCAAAGCTGTGAAAGAAGCACACTAGAGAGAGCTACCACCAGCTCTGTAAAAGGGAAAGACTATATTTGTTGGCCAGCTGCAGGCTTCATGCAGGGCATAGCAGTGGGTGGACTTGGAAAGCATGTAAACGGGGAAACATAAGTGACCCATCGCCCCAAGCAAAGAGACTACATGGGCAGAAGTTTGGAGGCCGCAAGTGGTGCATCTCTCAGGAACACAGGCTAGTCATCACCATTGCCAACTTAAAACAGCACAGCACAGCAGCCTGGCACAGCAGAGGACTTCACCTCCTGGTGACTTCAGACGGGTCTGCTTGGCTGTCTAGTCGCTCTCAAGCTTTGGTCAGTTGAGTTTTATTTTAATGGTACCACTTTCAGTACCATATTTATGTATCACCTGTTCTAGAATATGATTGATTCTTTAAATTGACCCACTTTTGTTTTACTTCAATTTATTTTAAAAGAAAGCTTCATATAAGTTGTATAAACACAAAAGTTAATACAATCTTCCAAAATAAAACATAAATAGGACTGGGAAGGTGGCTCAGTGTATAAAGTGCTCACTACTAAACATGGGGGTTGGAGTTTAAATCCCAGAACCCAGATTAAAGCTAAGCAGGTGCAGCACCACTTGGAATCCCAACTCTCAGGAGGCAGAAGCAGAGGGTGGGAGTCCTAGGGCCAGCTGACTTGTCAGAATTTCTGGGCTCTGCGTTCAGCAAGTGACCCTGCTTGGAGGGTGGGAGTCCTAGGGCCAGCTGACTTGTCAGAATTTCTGGGCTCTGGGTTCAGCAAGTGACCCTGCTTGATAAATAAAGTAAGGAGCAATCAAAAAAGATGACCAGTGTCAACTTCAGGGCTCCACACACATGCACATGCATGTGCATGAAATGCTGTGATGGAAAAGACGAAGGAATTAAAGCTGGGGAAGGCTGGGATGAAGGTAAGTGATGCAGAGCTTGCTTAGCATGCATCAGACTGAGTTTCATCCCTGTCACCAAAGAACACATGAAAAAGTCTTTTGGACGTAAAAAGGAAAACAGTTCTGTGGTTTGAGGAAATTGTTTTGGTAGTAGAGTCTACAACCATTTGAATGGGTAGAAAGTGAAAGTTGTGTGAGCATCTGCTATAATTTGGGCTAGAATTCATATAGACTGGGTGGTAGTAATAGAAGAATGGATGTGAAGCAACTTGAGATTCATGTATCTAAATGATAAGAAACACATGTCCACAGAGTACAGCCACATATGTGGTGCCCTCTGTAAGAGTAAAAACAAGAACTAGGATTGAGATGCTTGCTGAGTTTTTAAATGTGTGTATGTATGTGAGGGTATGTGTGTGTATTTGTATATAATTTAAACATATGTGTAATGCAAATGCTTTATACAGCTTAAAGATATGTCATTCCTGAGTATTTAAAGCTAAATGGACTCAATAGGATAGGTATGTATTTTATACATGCATATAATATTTATATATATTAATA